AAATACCAAATGAGAATTCTGTACAAGATACACACAGACAGACACGCAAGGGTAAACCCCATAGACTCAACGCAGATACGATAGAGAAAAAACTTCTTGAATATTCAAAATTATTTCACAACACCGACAATTGCTTTTCACAAAGTGCTGATATAATTATACTCGTTCATTCATGTCACAACAGTCCGTTCGAATCTCAATTTACGATAAAATTTGTTATCAAACGAAATCCCATACACGTATTTACGTGTCACGCGACGTACGCGCGTTTATGCACATCGATAAAATTTAATTAACAAACGCACAACTATTTATTCGGCATCCAAATCCGCGAACATATTTCTACCAATAACTAAACTTGATAATGAGTTTGCTTTTGCAGCGACACAGCTTTTGTATGATTACCAATTTACACTTTAGTACTCTGTAATAGAACACATTAAATTCTTACTTTTTACAATCAAATAGCAATTATTGCTCGTTGACGGGAAGCCAGCGCAAATTTTGCACGCGACATACGCAATTACGTGTAGGATGGAAATATATACGAACACACGATAGAGAGAAGGACAGAAAAACTTTACGAATCGCGTATTATAGTTGGACTCACCAACGCAGGGGTTATGGTTCACCGTCAAGAAGATCTTGTCGCATCGCCGCTTCATGTGATTATTCGGGCATATACAGCCAAACAGTGGCGATAATCGCAGCTGCGTCCAGGACTCATGGCAAGCTTCTCTGAAACAATAACGATAAGACATGGTTATTATCTCTCAAATGCAACTACCAGAAGATTTATACCGTAAATTTTAGATTAAAGAACAAAATTTATTAAAAAATACCTTAAAGCATTATTCCGCGGATATAATATATGGATCATTAATTATAAAAGAATGCGTCTTGCATTAATAATATAAAAAATAATAAAAAATATATAAAAGTAAATAACAAAATAATAATATGATAATAAAAAGAGGAATGCATTAAGACGTCAACTTTATAAATGAGAAGGTTGCGCTGCACGTTTAAATGCAGAATTTAAAATCACGTTAACGGGCCATTGTGGTGCATTGTAATTGCTGTGACCCCCACTGCTTTATAAATATTATTAATTAATCGCGATGAATTCCCGCTTCGCCGTCGGGCGCGTAAATCTCTCGCGCGGAGGATTAATGACTGGCCATCAAATATATATGTATATATTGGCGTTTTGCCAAATACATTGACCCATATCTGTGTGTGGCCCCTCCAATAGCCGTAATAAATATTAAAATACGCAAACTCCGATATTCACCGAGCTGCTGTACCTCCAATATTTCGTAATATTTTTGCGCATGTCTGTGTTCCAATAATCCGCGGTAATTGCAAGACATTATCGACACGATACATATCGGAATTTCAATACGCGCATAATTAGTGATTGCTATCTTCGGTGTATACGTATATTAATGCAGTGTATAGAAATAATCTTTTATAAACTCACGAATTTTTAGTTGCCACGTAATATAACAAATAAATTTTTATATACATATATAAACTGTATAAAATTAAATTTTTTATAAAATATTTTATAAGATAATA